GTAGTGCTCCCAGTGCTCTATTTTATTGCCCCACTCCTTTGGTAGGCTGTGCTTTATAACAAAACAACAGCAAAAATACTCTTAGATTTTGTATTATTGACAGGTGGAGGTTAGTGTAGGAGTAGTATTGTGTGCTGCTACATGGAGATGGCTGTACACTTGCAAATGCAGTTTAGGTCAAGAATTTGCTACATGCTTCACTGATAATGTTTGGTAAACAGCACCTTCTAAATCTTAAATACTTGGATTTAAAGGGAAAAAAATCCCCCCCGCACTATAATAAGGATTATAATCAGGAATTTAAGCAAGACCAAAAAATCCTGTACGTTAAACAGTACTGAAAATGTGAATGCTGCTAACGTGGGACAGTGAGAAGAGATCTTACCTCTCCAAAGAACTGGCTGAAGACACTAGAAAACCAACATTTCTTCTACCTATTAAAGCAATGGGGTGACATAAATAGCACGCTTACTTTCCAGGGGTGTTCTTTGTTAGCAGGATTGTGATTACCGTTTCTCATCTTATGATTACTACAAATATTCAAGTGAAGTGTTCCCTGAGGATAATTTGGGAGAGCTGCCTACCTGGGGGGTGAGGATTCGCTGGACAGCGTGGTTGCCCAGGACACCCCTGAGCTGTGTCACTGCTGCTGTACTCCAGAAGCTGTGATGTTTGCAGGGATAAGTTACATAGCGCCTGTGTTATTGAGGAGAAAGGGGAGATCTGTGCTCTAGTCTCTTCCCAGCACTGGGAACTTGATATTTTATGTAAGCCCTGAACTTTCACACCAAGCCTGCAGCTTGTTTTGGTTATGTTGTATGATTATTTACAAGTGTAGCTGCTTATTCCTTGAGGAGGTGGCGTTCCTGCTGCTGGCTTTCCATGTTGTTGGCAGGATCGAAGCAGGGAGGGTTTGAGCCTGTGCTGGCTTCATAGGAGCTGCCTCCCTCCCTCAGGCCTCTGGAATTTGGGCAGCAGTGGCAGCACAATAAATGAGGGGTGAGGATGGGCAGCCTTCTCTTTGTTGGTGTCTGTTTGCCTACATTATAGTGAAGAGATTGTTTTTTATAAGGAACAGAAAGTATTCACGCTGAGAATAATGAAAAGGGGGGAAAAGGGAGCCTGGTTTTTGTGCAGCATTACACAGAAGTCAGGAGAACCTCTCGTAGCTGCAGCCTGGCATCAATCCATTCCCTTTGCTCTTTGGTCTGCCAAAACCAGCATCTTCACTCCCTTCAGCAATGAAATATTCTCTTACATCTCTCCCTGCCATCCCCTCTCCCTTCAACAATTAGTTCCTTCCTTCACCTTCTACGCCTGATAAAAAATACATGATCCTGTCTCTGGCATGAAGCATACAATAGAACCCTGGTCACGGGGGAAATGGATTGCCAAGTCAGTATTTCCTCCCTTAAAATTGCACTTTCGTAGAATGTATTATTTCGGTTTGACCCTAATATGTCAGCCTGAAGCCTGAGTTGGTATGTTAACAAAAACATGGTGTACACCGTGTGCTTCACTGCTGATATTACTCCAGGAAAACCTGCATGGTTCTCCTTACAGGCTGTTAAAGAGAGTGGAATTGCTCTGCAGCTTCTGACTGTGTGGAGATCATGCTACTGCATGCTGCTCATGTGCTCAGTTAATACACGCTATCACTTGACCAAATAATGCAGCGATCTGTGTAGATGAATTTAAATCTTCTTGTACAAATCTAGTCCCGCCGAGGCAGGGGATTGGACAGAGTATAAAGCATGAATGTGTAAAGAATGAATAATTCCCCCTCTGCCCCCCACCCTTAGAGATTTACTGGTAATCGCTCAGTGATGTGGGTCACTGTGAGAGAAACACGTGCTGGGTTCATCGCATGTGGAGGTCTCCAAGAGTTGTCCTGCTTGTGAAAGGTGGTACTTTTAATGTTCACAAGACTCTTACTCACACGTCCCAGCCACCAGCAAAACCAAACTCCTTGGTTTTGCTTTAGGTGGCTCTTAGATACTGGTGAAGGTTTAATGTGAGACAGAGATGTCAAGTTTAACTCTTCTAAGCAGGTCACATTTTCAGCAGCTGTTTGTGTCGTGTTGGAGGGTGGCAGAGGGTTCCTTGCTTTAGACTCCACTCTTCCCTCTCAGCCCTTCTCCTGTGGGGACATTTGGTTGTGGCCCCAATGGAGGGCTTGAGCTTTATTTTGCTTCTCAAATGAAAATGAGATTTGGGAAAAATGATTAAGATGTGAAGTATTCATATATCATTGGAGGAAAAGATATTTTTATGTCATAGTGCTCATTGTGTTTTTCTTTGTCTCATTTTTCAGTCGTGCCAAGCTGACCTTGTGAAGGACAACGGTCACAAGTATTTCCTTTCAGTTCTGGCAGATCCTTATATGCCAGTAAGGATAAGTCATCTTTATTTGGACTCTTCTAGCATTTGCTGGGCTTGTCTTAGCTTATCTGCTGTTCTGATGTGGCTGGTGCTAACACAGGGCTGCCTCCCCCCTCCATCACCTGTGCCACCCACTGCTCTGCTGGAGAGTCAGGGCTGAGCTGTGGAGTCATTGACCAGGGGAGTTAAAAATGCTTCTGCCAGGTTGAGTGATTGAGACAGCAAAACCAAACAAGAACTTGCAAACTTGAGTTGTTTCGGTGCAGATTACTCAGTGGTGATGATGGGAGCTGGGGGCTCCTGGGGGCTGGGGGCAGAGCAGTCTGATTGCACTGTGACTTTCCTAATTCCCTCTGCAGAAGTTTTTTGTGGTTTCCTGGAGCGGGTATTTGTGAGCCTCCTCCGGAGCAATATACGGAGGTTGGTTGGGAGGATCGTGTTGGCAGTCTGACAGAGTGGCTCAGGTGGAACTAGTGACAGGACTGGATGACAAGACAATTCTAGCTTTCTCTCCCCTCTCTTGTACTTTTAACATGATACAAACTGCACTTAAAATAACTGTGTGTTTCCAAAAGCGTGGGATGTAGTTGTTCTCTGACCTGTTTTCTAGATAACGATTAGTTGTATGTTGTTTTAAGGCTGAACACAGGACAATGACGGCTTTTATCCTGGCTGTGATTGTTAACAACTACAACACTGGACAGGTGAGTCCCAACATTCTTCTTCCTTTCATCCTTTCCTACTTCTTCCCTACATTGTGCCTTTACTTTGATAAAAGTGTAATGGCTTGAATTAAAGCACGACCCTGAACTGCAAAAGTGAAATAGAAGATTGCTTTACATTATTTTGGTGTGGATTAAAAGAAAAAATGATGTGGAGGTGTGACAGACATTGTGTACCTGGCACCTGGAAGTGGAGGTTAAGGACACAAGTCACTCAATGACTTCCCCTCCAGGCAGCGCAGTGACGTGCTGTGTAAGAAATAGGGCTCAGTTCCTGTCAAGTGGAGACTTGATGGCTGTGATAAAGTTCTTGGGAAGGGTGTATGGAACGAGCCATAAACCTTGGGGCTCTGACAGGTGCAAGGAGTATTTCCAATGAGGGAAAACCAGGCTTTCTGCATTACTGGCAGCATTTCTAATGCTCAGCTATTTAACTGGCTATAGCAGTGTGTAGCTGACCTTCCCTTCATGCTGCTTCCAAATGGTATTTTGTAACAAAATCAGTATATAACCAATGAATAATTATTTTCTCTCGATTTCCTGTCTATTTCAGAAATAATCTTCTTCACTGGTGATGAGGTGGGAAACTGTCATCCAAAATAAATTGTATTGATTTGTGTTTTAGGAAGCTTGCCTTCAAGGAAACCTGATTGCTATTTGCCTGGAGCAGTTAAATGATCCACATCCTCTTCTGCGTCAGTGGGTGGCCATTTGTTTAGGACGTATTTGGCAGAACTTTGACTCAGCCAGGTGGTGTGGCGTGAGAGACAGTGCTCATGAGAAGCTCTACAGTCTCCTCTCAGATCCAATCCCAGAGGTAAAAATCCAACTTTTTAAGTAAACACCAGTTGAATTGTCAGAATTCTGGCAGAGGGCTACAGAAACACTTAAAAACCCAGGGCCTTCAAGAGCTTTATTATTGTGTCTGGTTCAAAGAAAGATCATATTGCTGTTTCTTCAAGCTGATGTGAATCATCCAAGCCCTGCAAGAGAAGTAACCAAAGAAATGCAAGGGGAGTTGATACAGCCTGAAAGCCCTGGAAGTTGGCACCGGAGTTAGGAAGCACCATGGTTTTTGCTTACTTACATATGGGAACCTTGTTAAAAAAGTGATCCCAAAGCTCACTGTGTATTGCGAAAAACCCCTCTGGTGTTTTTGTCCAAGTATGGAAACTCTTCTCCTCCTGGTACGTGTGAAAAGACATCTTTAGTTGAATGTGTTTTACCTTTGTGACAAACCCTCCAAGAGAGAAGGGATTTTTGTGCAGAACCTGGCGATGATTGACAAAGCCTGTCAGACCCCAGTGAAATTACAGCGCGTGTGGGAGAAGCAAGCCTGGAGATAAACACCACCGCTAACGTGCAGCGATTAAAGATTAGATTCCCCTTTGCATTCAGCCTTTCTGTCCTGCGTCCTCCATCTCCTTTCTCTGGCCCCATCTTTCCCCCACTTTGTAAGCAGTGTGTGTGTCCTTACAGCACACCCACACCTCTCTTCGAGGAGCCAGAGCGTTTCTACTCTGTGAAGCACATCCTGCCGTTGCCTGTTACTCCATATCCCCACTGCTTGCAGTCTCGGCCAAGGCAAGCTGTAAGATTACCAGGACATCTGATCCCTCTGTTCTTCATGTGATCTGGCAAAGTTTACCCTCATTTGAGCTGCTGTCTTTTCTCCTTTTTTTTTTTTTCTCTCCCCATCATCTTCTACCTTTCTGCAGGCCCTTATCTGAAGACTGTAGTTCAGCACTCTTATTAGATTCACATCCCAACAGTAACTCCCTGTGTATCTTATTCTTGTTAATTAATATTCTAGGCAACGTCAACTGGAAAAATCACCCATGGGAAGGTCACCAATATTCTGGGAAATTAAATATACTCCTGCATCTGTGAATACTTAAAACTCAGTGCTTTGCTGAACCTGTTTTGGTTTTTACTCTCCATGGGCTTCCATTTAGCTCTTGCTATTTACCTGACACAGTAGTCCAGGTTTCCAGAGATGCCAGTTGTGGGGATACAAAAAATCCCACTGGCAAACTTCAGGCTGGAAACAAGAGGAAAACAATAATGATGCTCGTGTCTCACAGGTTCGCTGTGCTGCAGTCTTTGCTCTGGGAACATTTGTGGGCAACTCAGCTGAACGGACCGATCACTCCACCACCATCGATCACAACGTAGCCATGATGCTGGCCCAGCTCATCAACGATGGGAGCCCCATGGTTAGGAAGGTACGGAGGGGCTGGCGGTGTGGGAGCGTGGTGGATTCACACTGACGAGCTCTGCCTAATCAGAGCGTGCGTTACTGAATAGACTTTTCAATGAGTTTGACTCCTTTGGAATGATCTGTTTCATTGTGAAGTCTTTTAACTTCAGTT